GCGATAAATTCTCCTTCCCTTACATAACAGGTCTACAAATAGTTTAAAGCTTTCCCATCCTTATTTAACAAGATTATATATAAACAAAGTTCCAGATGAGGAGATCTTTATTTAATAAGCAAATCGACCCAATATCTAATCATTTTAACACTGCTGATTCAGTCAATGTTAAAAAAGAAACCAAATTCCGAAGGTCTAATCAGAAGTAGAAGAATTCCCTCAGGTGGGCTTTTCTAAAAGCCAGCTAAGCTACAACCCAAAATCCTTTAAAATCAGAGTTGAAACTCTAAAAATTGCATAACTAGCTAGGAATCAGTGGAGCTGTGAAATTACTTTTCCAGTTGTGAAATAGATTTAACTCTGCTTCATAGGCTGATCTGAGCTGTTAGGGTCTTGTTTTGTTTCTCTCTATGTAACCAGCTCCCTCTCCCAAATTAGTTGTTCCTTGTTTTTCTTTCTCCTTTAGTTCTCTTTTAACTCTATTTAATTTCTCAACCCTTATGTAGACAATAAAAGACTTGAATCCCACTACAGAATCAGCACTTTCATTTTTAAAACATTTTACCTTTAATGCACCTGCTTGGCTCTGTTACTAAAAGAAGGTAACATTCAGTGCTTTTTTTTGTTAAAAAAAAAAAGATGCCGGAACTCACACATGTTATACAACCCGCCTTGCCTACCCTACAAGGTTCCATCCAAAAAAGGTGCCAGAACTCTGTTCTGGGCGTTCTATGACAAAAAAAGCCCTGGTAATATTTGCCACTATCTCTTTGTGAGTAAAACAGAAAGAAACTAGATTCTACTTCCCTCCCATTAAGATCATACAGATAGTCCTAAATTTACAACTAATTATTTAATGCCAGTTTGAAGTTACAACAGCACTGAAAAAAGTGACTGTTTTTCACACTTACGACTGTTGCAGCATCACCGTGCTCATGTGGTCAAAATTCAGACACTTGGCAACTGGCACATATTTATGACGGTGTCCCAGGGTCATGTGATCACCATTTGCAACCTTCCCAGAGGGCTTCTGACGTAAAACCAATATGCTCAAGCGGAGGCTTTTAGTGGTTAACAACACGCTATATGAATGTAGAGAGAGACACAGAGTCTGGCCCATCTGCTGGTGTATCAGCTACTACCAGAAACATGTACCGATAATGATTTATTTTTGGCCAATGACAAAGCCAAGAAGGTGCCTTCATTTTGGCAGTTTAAAGTTTGATCAAGAGACGGAAGACGAAAAATGGCTTCTAACAAGCAAAGTCAAGCCAGATTTGCTTAACAACTGCCTGATTCACCTAACTGCAGTGATTCGCTTAACAACTGTGGCAAGAAAGGTCCTAAAATGGGGCACACCTCACTTAAAAACTGCCTTGCTTGGTAACAGAAATTGTGGGTTCAATTGTGATCATAAGTCAAGGACTACCTGTACTGAGTTAGCGTCTCCCCAAGAGTGTGGGAAAATGCAATAGAGATTTTGGGAAAGTGGCTTAGGGATCCTCTGCTCAAGGAAACCAGAGGGACTAAACCAGGGGTAGGCAACCTTGGCTCTTTTATGACTCGTAGACTTCAACTCCCAAAATTCCTGAGCCAGCCATGATGAGGGGAAAGCGAGAGGTTTCCAAGCTGAGCCATGCTGGCTCAGGAATTCTGGGAATTGAAGTCCACGAGTCATAAAAGAGCCAAGGTTGCCTCCCCCTGGACTAAACCTACCACATCTATGTTGCAAATAATGCAAGGGGTCATTAGGATTTTTATACGAGGAGAAAACATGTTACAATCAAGTGTAGAAAATATTGTTTTAGTCTATGTGCCGGTCTGTGACTGTAATAAAGATTGAATCGAATTGCTTTAATCTAAATCAGTAAAGGTCATGTAGCATGAAACAGCTGATCCTGATTAGTCTGCAACTCCGCAATTTTAAGCAGGCATTTCCCATAGCCACAAACTCGTTTTCCTTGAAGATTAGTGGGAGACCAGCATAAATTCATTAGACTGTTTTCTGGCTATAGCACTTCCATATATCATCACCTTTCCCTGTTCCAAATTGTTTTTGAGTTAGTTATATGAATATTCAATGCAGAACTTTACACATATGTATGATAAAATCAGTAATTTTTATATACTTTGGTCTAGCTTCCATAAAAACATAGCAAAACCTTTCCACTCCAATCTGTATTCCATTTATACAAGAAGTACAGATTAAGTATAGATACAGACTGAAATGTAAATTATTAACTAGAGATAATATTGAAAGTTGTGCAAGAATTGCAAATAGTTGAATTCATACCTCAGTCAGCTATAAGGTTTACTATAATAAACCTGGATGAATCACTATTTCTCTATCTTCTCACAAAAAGGCTATGAGAATGAGAATAACTTGATATTGTTGAAGAAAAGTGGATGTAGATACAATTTAATATATTATAAATTCTTTTCAACCACCATCATCCAAAGTCAAGTTGGTGAGAATAGTTATGGCACTTTAACTACGCAAATCCTTATTTGGGATTCCATCACTATGTCTGGAAGACCCTGAATATGTAGTCCCTTCAAAAGGGATTTGGAGTTGTACAAATGATTATCTGCATATTTGTGGCTGGATAGCTGGTATTTCCATTGTAGTCTCTTAGGATCACTTTATTCATATCATAATCATTATGCTAAGATAGCTGACCATTTTTTCTGATGGAAGCCTGGAAATGAGTTTAACAATAACAACAAACTGTATCAATGATTTGGGTTCTCCCTTTTTCCTTCATTGAGTTTATTGATGCTGAATTCTCTAAACTCAGAGATCCAACTTGGAGATTTACAAAACAGAAAAGAATGGCAAGAAGTCATGTCTATTTCCTTCTTAATACAAGGAATAGAGAGGTCAACATCTTCAATATATTTTAAGGGAATAGTCTGTAAAATATTAAAATCAGTTTCTTCACCTTTGTATATGTTTGCATTATGCAAACATCTGGAAGCATTTAGGTCCAGGACTACTACTTTAGATGGTCACAAAAAGGTTTCCCCAGCTGCCATAACTCAGCTTTTAAAAATTCTGGTATTATCTATAATCCCAAAAATAAACAAATGAATCTGACATGAATTAATGAATCTGACCTGAAGTGATATAAGTCTAGTCTAAAATCCTTCAGCAGTTGGGCAACCCACTTATTCTGTAGGGATATAATTCAAGTGTTTAATTTAGGGGTATAGAAACAGTGGTCAGAAAGATGAGAAAGAGGTCTACCAAACTTTGGATATGGCTCCCAATGTCTCTTTCAAGTTAATAATACAGCTAATCCTCATTTAATTACCATTTATCCAGTGACCATTCAAATTTATGGCAGTGCTGAACAAATGGTAGTTACAAACAGTCCTCACAATTACAGCTGGTACAGCATCCTACAATCACATGACCATGATTAGCGACTTGCCCTACAGATTCCCACAAGCCAAGGCAACCGGGAAGCAGACAGAAATTTGCAAGTCATGGTCACATGAGGTCCTCACAGTCCTTGCTTAATGGCAAGGCAACCAGCACTGCCAGAAGTGCTGTCGCTAAGTGGCACAGTCATCTGGTATTTTTTTTACTTCTGACTATTGTTTTCCAACTGAATTTCCAGTCCCAATAAGCACTGTTAAGCAAGAACTACCTGAAATAATAATTAAATGTATATGCCACTAGGCTCCCAGTGACATTTTGGCCTACCTTTAATATGACACAAAACAAACCATAAAGAAAAAAGTACGAAATATCTAGAGGTATCCAGAACTGCTATTAGACCGCAGTCATAGCCAAGCATACAGTATCTTGGATTGCCGTATAAGAAGTGCATTTCCTAAGGGTTCAGAAACATGAACCGGGTTTGAGGTGTTTTTTTGAGCATAATAGGAATCTGACTACAAGGCCTTCCTACCACTCTGATAGCCCCACAGATAGACCAGATGAGGAAATTAACTCAGGGAAATACAGTTGTGCTCTATCTTCTCCTCCGTCTTATAGTTCAGTGAATTGAAATACTTCCAAATCAGTGAATTGAAATACTTCCAAATCATATCTTCATAGGCAGTGAATTGAAATACTTCCAAATCATATCTTCATAGGCAAGGTAAAGGTTTTCCTTGTCCAGTCATGACTGACTCTAGGGGGCAGTATTTATCTCCTTTTCCTAGCCCAGGGAGCCAGCATTGCCCAAAGACACTTCTGTGGTCATGTGGCCAGCATAACTATATGCCGAAACTCACAGAACCCTGTTACTTTTCCACCAAAGTGGTACCTATCTACTTGCGTTTTCATGCTTTCAAATTGCTAGGTGGGCAGGAACCTGGGCAAGAATGGGTGTTCACTCTGCCACGTGGTACTTGGGTCTC